TGGAAGGGGATTTTCGGCCATATTAGAGGGCAAAATGGATGGGTGATGTGTTGGGTATTTTGGCTTGGCTAGTGAGGTGAATATTTGGTGGTTGGGGAGTGATTCATTCTGCCATAGTGGGGGACAGTGGGGTGTGAGAAATATGGCTTTTATAGGGTGGCTTTTATGGTGGTTTAAAGGTCAAAGTAATCAAAAATATCCCTTGGCTTGTTGTGCTTGTTATTTCGGTTGTACTAGGGGACAAGGGGGGGACAATGTTTGTGGGATGTTGGGTGATGAAATATGGTTGTTTGGCTTGGTGTGTTTCGGCCCTAGCTTAGGGAAATGAAAAGGAAATTGACTTATGGTTTTTTCTTTTGGCACAAAACGTGTTATTTTGATGGAGTGATTCAAGTAGGGAGTGGGGTAGTCTGGGCAGGGTATACGGCTCTTTTTAGGATGGAGATAGGCTCAAGGTTGTCAGGGTTAAGTAATATGGTTTGGGGTTGGAGAATTCATTCCAGAAAGGATCGTAACACTTAGACATGATTCCACTGATTTGTTTAAGGATTTGAGGATCAGGTGTAGTACTAGGGGATATAACAGTGTATAATACACAGTTACACACACACACAAAGTATATTTAAAATATATAGTTATATATTGCAATACGTGGAAACAGCCTCTCTACTTTCGAGTAGGGGCAATGTCTGCTTATACACACCCTCCCGAGACACTACTTTCGTGGGATCCAAATGGGTTGTTGTAGTTAATTATACATTGCAATATATGTTATGCATTGCATTTTTTCAAGTCTTAAACACTACATTAGTGTCAATGGAAAACAATATCTTGTCAGTACCACAAAAGGGAACATCATGGCTAGACTGTGCAAATAATGATCCGGGTCGGATCTGGGCCGGACTTGATATAAATTATTAGCCCATTTACATGGGCGGGCCTGGCCCGGCCCGAATTTGATGGGCTAAATTCTTTACCCATACCCGCCCATCTTTGCGAGCCGGACTGCCCACCGGGCCGGACTGCCCATCGGGCCGCCCGGCCCGGATAAAACATCAAGAAATTTTTTTTTTGTACAAAAAATTTAAAAAAACATTGAACTCTTTTTTAATGTTTAAAATAAAATAACCAGTCACCACATTTATATAGAAAGCATAATAGAGATATTATTGCATAATTAATAGACCCATCATACTGATTCATTAAAAGAGTATTGATTTTTTTAAAAGAGGTGAGTGAATTAAACTATTATACATGAATTATAGAAAATTTTAAAATTTATATTGGCTATTTAATTAATAATAAAGTAAATATATTTGATGAATATGGGCGGGCTTTTTGGCCCAGATGGGCTAAAACTAATTTCCAGATCCGCCCATATACAATTCGGGCTTGGGCTGGCCCGCCCATTTGGGTATTAAAGGTTGTCCATATTCGCCCTTTTTAAAGGGCGGGCTGGGCGGGCCGAACGGGCCGACCCTTGTTTGCACAGGTCTAATCATGGCATTATATTATTAAAGACGAAAAACAAATATAAAGTTACAATCATTTGCGAATTAAAAAAAGGAAGAAAATTCAAGAGGGAGATGAGTTGTGGTAGGGATATAGAATTCCTCGAGTGGTTCGAAATTGAAGGATATGGCAGAGAGGGAATCGACGAAGAGCTTCGATGGAGGTACTGAGATTGAAGAGTTGAGATATCTTCGATAGAGATAGTCTGATCAAAAGAGACGAGAGAATCAATGGAGAGCTTCGTTTGCTGCGGTCGTTCACGGGTACGAAGGGGTTAGGTCTTTTGAAGTCATTTACTCAAGCCACGTAAACGCAAACGTCTTTCCCCGTGTTTTTCTTCTTGGACAAGCTGTGAAAATTCTGCAAGCATCACCTTGTGTACCCTTCTTGGCCAAGCTGTGTTTTTAAATCATTTACCAATATTTCATGCATTGTTGGTTGTGCTCTTCAATAGGTGACATAAGAAGCTTAATGATAGGAGTGTGATTATTGCATGGAATATACTAAAACACACTGATTCCCTTTTGCAAAGTGATGACCAGTATGACCAATAAGCAGTCATATGCTCCACTATAGAGATGTTTTACAACTGGACATGCTCTCTCAAGTGGTGACTAACTTGGAACAAAACAATGTTGACCTCATAAGAGGACTAAGTACAAGATTCAGCATCTCAATCATGGATAAGGTCCAACCCATACAGAAAATTACTCCGGGGTACCCTTGATTTTCTAGTTAATAATTCCCAGGTCCCACATCATATTAAATATACTCCGGGGTATCCTTGATTTTCTGGTAAGAACTATAAGTTCCCACATTATCCAAAATATACTCAGAGGGTCCTTAAAATTTGTGGTAATGTACTCCGAGGGTACATTCTGTCTATTTCACCTTCACAATTGAAGGTTCTGTTACTTTGGTAAATACTAAATTTCACATTCATAACCATCATTTTATTAAATTTAAATAAAAATCTTCAATTTATAAAAGTAGAAGAACTTTTAATCTAATGCCTAAATTGAAAGAATGTACCCTCAGAGTATAATATTACAAATTTTAAGGACCCATAGTATATTTTGGATAATGTGGGACCTAAGAGCTCTTACCAAAAAACTGAGGGTACCCCGGAGTGTATTTCAGATAATGTGGGACCTGGGAGTTATTATTAAAAAATTGAGGGTACCCCAAAGTAATTTTTTGCAACCTATAAGATGGCAAGTTCCAGCAGCGGGATGCAGCCTTCCCAAATGGCAGAGTTGCTGGAGGAGCTATCTTAAGGACCTGTTTGGTTCGGGGGGAGGGTATGGGAGAGGAGGGAAAATGAATCACTCCCCTTTGGTAAAAATTTTTTGAAGGGAGGGGACCCTAAATATCCCATCCAATGCCCTCCCCTTCCCTCATTTTCATTCCCTCCGAGTCCAGGGTTTTCTTCGTCTCCCTCCTCTCTTCTTTATCTTCCACTTCTTTTCTTCCTCTCCCTCTTCTCTTCTCTTCTTTATCTTCCTCTTCTCTTCTCCATCTCCCATTCTTCCTACTTTGTGGTCCTCTTCTGTATCGCTCTCTCCATCTCCCTCTTCTCTTCTTCTTCTTCTTCTTCTTCTTCTTCTTCTTCTCTCTCTCTCTCTCTCTTTCTCTCCCTCCATCTTCTCTTCTTCGATCTTCTCTGCTTCGTCTACCTCCTCTCTTTCTGTTTACCTTTTCTCTTTGTTGATCTTCTCTTCTTCGCCTTCCTCTTCTCTCTCATTCTCCCTCTGTTCTTCATCACTAGGGCCGTCCTCCTTCCTCTCTCTCCCTAACCAAACAAGGGGCGGGGCTCCCTCTTCCCGCCTTCCTATCCCCCCAACCAAATAGAGCCTAAGAGACTGCAAAGGGCACGTCATTCATGGAAGAACAATCAAACTAGAGGCAAAAGATAATTTCTTAGCAGAACTTTAAACACCTTACTTGGACTGCAATCGGCAAGAACACAAGGCAAAAAAATCATTCTCAAAACACATGGGAAAAGCCTAGCAAGCTTTGCAAGCAGCAGTCACCAAACATATAATAATATGGGCAATATTTTTTACAAAGCTAATCAACGACACACACACTTGAAATTGCCTATTTGGATCGCAATGGGCAAGAACACAAGGCAACAACATCATTCTCCAAATATATGTGGAAAGGGTAGAAAGCTTTGTAAGCAGCAGTCACCAGTTGATAATATGGGTGACTCGCCTCCAATCCGTTTCCCCTCGTAAAGTTGCCCCCCTTGCACAATAAATTATGGATCACACGGCGGAACCTGGATCCCTTATAGTGAAGGGGCTTGCCGGAATTTGTGACTCCTTTCTTTCTGATGCAGAGTGCGCGGAAATTCTCAGCGGTCTTAGGAGTCACACACACACATACATGTATATGTGTGTGTGCGTCTTGTTGTGTCTCAAATACACACACACACACACACCCACATACATACATACATACATACACACACACACATACACATACACATACATACATACATACATATATATATATACACACACACACACATATATATATATATATATATATATAGGGGGGTCTCTTGGAAGCAGCCTTTTGACTATTGAGTAGGGGTAATGTCTGCGTACACACATCCTCCCGAGACCCTATTCTCGTGGGATCCAACTAGATTTTTGTTGTTGTTGTTGTTGTGTGTGTGTGTATATATATATTGTTATTAGTATTAATATTATTATATTAGGTAAGTATTAAGAATATGGTAGGTGTTATAAGTATTAATGTTAATATATTAGTTAAGTCTTGAGAATATGGTAGGCTTTGATTTAGACATTAATAGGGTTGATTTAAATTTCTTATATTAGCACCCTTCTTATGTATATATAGTCACTTGTTTTATGTAACTAAGTGAACTGTGAAAACCTCTGATTATTTCTAAATGGTATCAGAGCTAGTCTGTTCAAGGGTTAGGATTCCTTTTTTATAGACTAGGCTGCTGCCATATTGACGCTGCCTATAAGGGTGCTCGCTTGACGTCACTGCCACCATGGGTTGAGTCGCACGTTGCAGGAGGAAAAGTCTGGAGAATCTCTCCTCTTCTGGAGACCTCGTGTGCCGCCACGACTGGTCAGATCCGCCATTGAAAACCATTGTTAGCGTCTCCTGAGTCATCTAAGCACCTGTGTGGACTCAGTTTAGACATCCAGTGGGTTATTTTGTTCTTTCTTCCCCTGCTGTTCAGTGATCATTTACTCCTATGATGGCAATTACGGTTTCAGTTAACAATAGTGCTTGTCTTGTTTCGTCTTCCTCCAAGTGGGTTATTGATTCCGGAGCCACAGGTAATTCTAGTGTCTTCTCTACTTCTCAGCCCTACATATCATCTTCCCCTGTTACCCTTGCTAATGGTTCCACGTCTAAGGTCCTTCGGTCATGCTCGGTCATCTTTACTCCCAATATGCACTTGTCGTCTGTCTTGAGTTTACCCCACTTCTCATTTAACTTGCTATCTCTTAGTAGGCTCACTCGTGATCTTAATTGTCTTGTCACATTCTTTTATGATCATTGTGTGTTTCAGGATCTTACGACAAAGAAGATTATTGGTGAAGGACGTGAGACTAATGGCCTATATCTTTTCAAAACTTCATTCCTAAAGTAGCTGCTTGTGTCGGGATTGAGTCACCTCTTGAGATTCATTACCATTTGGGTGGGTCATCCATCATTATCCTTGTTAAAGAAACTTTATCCTCAATTTCATCATCTTTCTATTTTAGAGTGTGAGTCATGTCGTTCTACTAAACACCACCGTGTTAGTTTGAGTCCTAGAATAAATTTACGGGCAAGTGCTCCTTTTGAGTTGGTTCATTCTGACGTTTGGGGTTCTTGCTTGGTTGTGTCAAAACCTGGATTCCGGTACTTTGTTACTTTTTTTGATGACTATTCACGTATGACTTGGCTTTATTTAATGAAATCCCATTCTGAGTTATTTACCCACTTTCGTTTTATTTTGTGCTGAAATACGACCCGAATTTAACACGCCTCTTAAAATTATGCGTGGTGATAATGTTAGAGAATATCTTTCCACTCACTTCAGTCCTACATGCGTGATCATGGCATGCTCTCAACCAAACTTCTTGTGTTGATACTCCAGCCCAAAATGGTGTAGCTGAATGTAAAAATCGACATCTACTTGAAACTGCACAGGCACTCTTGTTTTTATTAAAAGTGTCTAAGTTCTTTTGGGCTTATGTTGTTGCCACGACGTGTTTGTTGATTAACCGCCTCCCATCAAGTGTTCTTGGTGGTCAACCCCCTTTTCATAGTTCTTCCCTTATAAACCACTGTTTCCTGTCCCACCGAAGATTTTTGGGTGTGCATTATTGTAAGGGATGTCTGTCCATGTGTCACTAAACTAGATCCAAAATCCTTGAAGTGCATCTTTTTGGGATACTCACGGGTCCAAAAGGGATATCGTTGTTGTTGTCCGAGTCTTGGTCGATACCTTGTCTCCATCGATGCGAGTTTTCGTGAGCATGTTCCATTTTCTTCACCCACAGAATCCTTAAATGAAGGGGAGGGTTCGGATGATATTTTGTTCTACACTACATCTAGTACTACATTTGTGCCCTATGTTGTTGTGTGTCTCCTATCACTCAGGTTTACTCTCACAGAAAAAGACCAGCCACACCCTCACCTCCCTCACCTACACCTGTGCCACCCTCACCTGTCCTTGAACCCTTTTCTGCCACAATGACTCTGCACTGTTGGCCAGTGTCAACGGAACCGTGCCCTAAAAATGAAACATGGAGTATTTTCTCTTGGGTAGAGGATGAATTTTTTGTTGTGTTCTATAATTATTAATTATCGCAATATATAATTCTTGATTCGACTTACTCATTTTATATCAAATTTTTGTTCCCGTATTGATTTTTAGTATGTATATAAACATTTAAGCGTTATAGGCTTACAGTTATACGTAAATGGTAGGAATCCCCTTTGAAGTGAAAGCATATTCATCAGCAGGTTCATTGATGAAATGCATTATCTTAAACATATTCTGATCAGATTATTTTTTCAAACTAAAGTATCAAGCACTATGATGATTTCCTCAAAGATTGTCGTGCTCAAATTGCAGATTTTTGGAGAGCCTGCTAAACGATTGTCTCAAACGTTACCCATTTTCCTTGCCAGATCTTTGCCCTTTGGAGCCTATATCACAAAACCTCTTACATCAGAATATGAGTTATGAGAAGGGCAAAGAGTTAACTAAACACGATGGAAGTTCATCACAATGTAAAGGAAAGAACAAGAAAAAGATGCCAGATGTGTCTGCAAGCTCAAAAACAATGGGAAATCTGAAACAGCAAACTCTAACAGATGTGTTGAGAAAAGCAGGTGTTATGCCTAGCCCAAAAGTGCTAATTGATGATATCTCTAGAACGTGTTCAAAGGGAACCATGGTGGAGTTGTCAGGGAATAGCCAGGATAACATCATGTCCCCACTTACTGTAGAGATTTCTTCCGCTGCAAAGTTACTAGAACGTCAGAGATACAAGTTCAGACCTCTTCTTCTTGAGTGTTTTGTCAGATTTTCATCATATAAGGTAACATCTGTTTTTATACTCTGTAACTTATAGCTTGATTTGATTTTCTACAACATGGCTTATATTTTGGTCACAATGTCAAATTAGTCTAAAGTTAAAAATGTGATGGTAAAATGATGATGTCGACAATGATTAAATGCGAGTAGTAACTGCAAAGAGATTGTGGTTCAATTATGATGACGCTTGTGGTGTATCAGGGATGGTTGTTTCGATAATGATGACTATTGGTTGATAGCAATAATAATTAGTTAAACATTCTGCATATGACTTTTTTGTAAAAAAAAAGGAAGTCACATTTCATATATTTATGCATATGACTTTCGTGCGTATGACTTTTCTAACATCAAAGACATTTTCTATTGTTATCATTTTCATTTGCACGTCAGACACATGCAAATTTGAAAGCAACTTCTGGATATCTTTTTCTGGCTTTCCGAATTTGGCCTAAGCGACACTAAACGTTTCTTTTTTGAACTGTAATGATTTAACATCTTGTTCACATGAGTTTTTGGACAGCAACACAGGAGGCTAAGTAATATACTCCCTCCGTCTCACAATTGATTACAATGTGCATCACGATAACTTTTGTTTATTGGTGCGTTTTCATTTATTATTTGATGAAATAAAATATCTTGTCACCTATCGCTTCGTAGAATTGTTAATGTAGTTTTTAAATTTGCAAGTTTTATTCGTTATTTCTATACCAATCTTTAAATAAAATGTTTGAAAAAACTTGGGATTTTCTTTGTTTTGCGCAATCTGTAATCTATTATGGGACCACGAAGGTCCTGGAGTGTATCATAGATGCAAGGTTGCGAAAGGAGGTGTCTATTTCCGAGAAGCAATTTGGCATCATGCCTCGGCCGTGGAAGCTATTCACCTTCGCGGAGGTTGATGGATCAGTATAGAACTTAGAAGGACTTTCAGAGATATGTAAATTAGGGCAATGACTAGGGTGAAGATTATCGGGGGTGACTCTGATCCTTTCCCTATAGAGGTGGGGTTACACCAGGGCTCTGCCCTTAGTCCCTTCTTATTTGCCGTGGTGATGGATGTTCTATCTTCTATCGCATAGGGTCCTAGAAGAGGTTCCTTGGTGTACCTAGAAGAGGTTCCTTGGTGTATGCTTTTGGCTGACGATATTGTACCAATCAACGAGACTCGTGAGGGACTTAATGACAAGTTGGAGGTGTGGCGCCAGTGCCTAGAATCCAAAGGTTTGAGACTGAGCAAGACTAAGATTGAGTACTTAGAATGTGGTTTTAGTGGTCGGGTTACAGAACTAGAGGTGGAAGTTAGGATTGATTCACACCTAGTGCTTGAGATAAGTTTTGATATCTTGGCTCGGTCATTGAGGCAGATAGAGAGATAGATGGGGATGTTGTTCACCGTATTGGAGCTGCTTGGGCAAAATGGAAGTTGGCGTCAAGAGTTCTGTGCGACAAAAAGATTTCAAAAAGGATGAAAGGGAAATTTTATCGGTCCGTAGTCAGACTGGCTATGCTTTATGGTGCGGAGTGTTGGCCGGTTAATAAAGCCCACATCAGTCGACTGAAAGATGCAGATGCTGCGATGGGTGTGTGGGCAAACAAGGTTGGATAAGATTCGGAATGAGGTTATTTAAAGAAGTGTGGCAGTGGCACCTGTGGACGATAAACTGCGAGAGGTTAGGTTTAGATGGTTGGTCACGTGAAGAGGCGTGCAGATGAGGCCCCAGTGCGGAGATACAAAAGAGGCTTACGATAGTTTGTGGGTGTGTGGGAGGGGTAGACCTAGGAAGAATTGGAAGGAGGTGATTAGGCAGGACTTAGGACTTTTGGTTATTACCGAGGATATCACCTTAGATAGAGACATCTGGAGATATAGGATTAATGTGGTTGGTTTGTCGTTTGGTCTAGGGTGGTAGTTTTGTTCGTTTTGTTTTGTGATTCGTTGGCTTGGGGTCTTTCTGCTTTCATTTATTTGTGTACCTTTTGTCTTATTGCTTTTTTCTTACCCTTAGTGTACTCTTTATCTTTTTGTCGTGCTATCCGCTTTCTGTGTTTGCTTGTGTTACTTGAGCTGGGGGACCCTTGCAAACAGCCTTTCTACTTTTAGTAGGGGCAAGGTCTGTGTACGCACACCTTCCCCAGACCTTGCTATTGTGCGATTCTACTGGGTTGTTATTGTTGTATATGGGACGAATGGAGTAGTTGACTCCTATGTAGTACATATTCTTTGGCAGGGGTTCTGGTTTCTTTATGAAAACATATATGATATTGGTACTCTCAAAATTTCTCTTATGGTCACTTCCTCCAGTATTGGACCGTGTATGACCTCTCCAAATGAGAGCATTCTTCGAACAATGTACAACTTATAATATTTTAGTTATGTACTACTGCTATACATTATTAGTCATACTTGTATTGTTTTTTTAATTTAATATTCATACATTATTCTGTTTGTTTGTTCAACTAAATTTACTATATTTAATTTGCTTGTGATTGTTCAAAAGAACTCTACCTAAATAAGACAAACATGAAATTTATACCAAAATAAGACCTACTCCCTCCGTCCATAAATTATCTTCCCACTTTCCTTTTTCGTCCGTCCAGAAATTATCTTCCCATTTCCTTTCTAGGAAATATTTTTATATTGAAATGACTGAATTACCCTCCCTCACCCATTCCATATCTTTTTTTTTCCTTCTTCACTGCCGGTCCACCTGCCAGTCTGCCACCACCCATTCCTCCTCTTCTTTCTTATCGTCTTCTCCCTTTCTTATTTCCTTTTCTTCTACCTTTCTTTTTTTCTTTCTTCTTCTTCTTCTTTCTTTTCTTCCTCCCCCTTCTTATTTTGTTCTGTCATCAACTGATTGGGTGTAGTGAAACTGCGGTTGGGGTAACGCCGGAGCAAAGAGGCGGTGGTCGGAGGTGACGCAGCGATCAAATATGCTCTTCTTCCCACATCGCAGTCATCAATTCCATAGATCTACAAATCCATGTTGCTCCTAACCCCGACTCTCCCCGTCAAAACCTCGGATGCAACATATTCTTCTTTGCCCAAGTTGTCTTCAACAAAAAGATCCAAAATCGATCTACGGGGTTGGGGGGTACTGAGGGGATGGGAGTAAGAGCCGAAGAGGTCACCCACTGTGTTGTGGGAGCGAGTCGGCAGTGACGGAAGGGAGAGTCGTCCAGACTTGGGGAGATGTTGAGGTTGGGGGTATAATAGGAAAGTCAAGGCATTTTTTATCACACATTAATATGTGTGCCAGGTCAAACCGGGAAGTTCTTTAATGGACGGAGGGAGTATGTTTTTATCCCCTTAATCGAAGTGCTTACACTGTAAATGCCACAATTTGGCATTGTGTGCTGGCATTTCACAATGTTATCTGGCAGTATGTGTTGGCATTATAAGTCCTATTTTGGTAAAAAAAACATTGAAGGTCCTATTTTGGTATATGGAGCATGTTTTAGTCATAGTCAGATTTTCTCCATTGTTCAATGCCAAATTACATGAATATTAAAACTGTTTGTTGAAACATGACTTGGACATTATTTGAGTTCTAAAGTTGTTTATCTTTTCTTTTTCAGCCAGATGAAGTGGCAGTTTGGTACTATGGTTTAGTTGTTTGTAGTTGTTGCTGTTAGGAGATTTGTTGGGAAATTTTAGATTTCGAATGTTTGTTTGAGTTGTTGCTAATGTGATTCACAATTGGTTATAAGGTGATTATTTTTTAAAAAAAGTAGGGTAATTTTTGAGAAAGGAAAATGTGAGTTTATTTATTTTTATAAAATAATCTATTTACAATTACACTTTATAAAAAAATTAAAAGAAATATACTCTAATAGAATCAAAACATACTTCTCATCCCCAAAATAGGAATGACATATATTTGTCCTCGACCTTTTTTTAATACCAAAATCTATAGATTTATATTAAATATGAAATAGTTACAAGTGGGACCCTAATACTCCCAAAGTACAAACAAGACTAAGTAAGGGGTAAGAGTGTAAGACAAAACAATAAGCTAGTGCGCCTCCTTAGAGCAAAACATAGAGAGCCCAAGTTCATTGATTTCCTCCTGAAAAGCAATCTTCTTAGCCTTTTTGCTAGACCAAAACCAATGTTGTAGGGTGTTGTAGACTTGGTGGGCTTTATGATTCAAATAGGAAAAAGTAGGAGTATTTTTGGAACAAAATTATCACTGTAGCTGAATTGCTTCAGCAAATCTAAAAACTCCATTTTGGAACTCTACTCATGAAACGGAATGCTACATTGAAATGGAGCCACTGAGTGCTGAATTAAACTCACCCGGAGCATTCAAAAATTGCTTATTGTTGCATGCAAGTACCATATTATCAAACACCTGCTTTTGACCAACAGTTTTCAAATGCAGGCTCAAGATTCATTATGTCTGGATCCAGCTGCTGAGGTGATATGTCTTTTCAGTTTGGATTGTTTACATTCACACTATGTTTGGTTCAAGGAATTCAAAAGAAAAAAGAAAAGAAAATGAGGTGGAAAACAAGTTTTCTTGTTTGGTTAGAAAGGAAAAGTGGAAGGAAAAGAGAATGAGAAGACAAAATGTACCAAGTGGATGGAAAACCAAATTCCTTCCATTTTGGTGAGGAAAATGAGAGAAAACCATTTTCTTTTCTTTTTCTTCAAAATTTCTTGAACCAAACATAGTGTCAAAGTTCAATTGAGTTCCTTTTGGTTAAACCTTAACAAGGGTGTATTTAGGAAGAAATAGATGCATCTTCAGTCTTCACTTATAGGGTACTATGGCATTTACATATGTGCTTCATTAATATCTTTTGATCTGTTTAACTCTTTCTTTGATGGCCTTAGTTACCAGTTCATCTTTATTTCCTACGTGATCTGAGCAAAAAGCTGGATTATTTTAGTCTGCACAATAAACAAATAGCAAAGTGTTCAAGTTTTCCACCCAGTCTCGGCAGTACGAATGTAACAGACTTCATAAATGATGTTCGCATGCTGTTTCCCTCTCTTAAAAAAAATCTTGATCTCGTGCTTTGTATTCTCAGAGAAGGTACAGAAACATTAATGAAATCATTGCTTTATAATGTTGTCTTCAAATTTCAAACATCTTACACAAGCTTTATATAGAAACTGAAGTATGTCAAGATCACTGGAAAGTTCACTCCGCTGCATCTCGAAACCCAGATGTTACAAGCATTCTTTGTTCCACATCAAAAGTTTCCTACTGTGTCTTCAAGGAGACACTGTGCTGCTTTGGAAAGGTAAAACACGTCACATGTTTTTCCACAGAAACAGTATTGGGATTTCTGATGATTAAACTTTTTCTTAAACTCCCCCCCCCCCCTCCATCTGTCCCAGTTTGGGTGGACTGGTCAGCTGGAGGGTGTGGAAGAGTGCAAAGGAGAGGAGTATATAAGTGTACATATTTGTACATGTTAATAAGATTGTAAATTTTAATTCTTTCCATTTTCTTTTTCTTTTACTTTATCCCATTTTCTGGATTTTGTTAATTCAGATGGTACAAATTTCCGAGATTCAGAGAGAAAAATTAGTCCTTACTGATCTTCTAGAGGCTTTCCAGCCATCAGGGTTTCCAGATGGCTTCTTTATGGGCATGCAACATATATCTCCTGGGAACATAGATTATCTATATTCAGGTGCATATTCTTTCATTGAAGGAACATTCGATGCAGGTATGCAGCTGACTTACTGATGTTTTCACTTTCCACATAAATGTTTCTGTTGATTTTCCTAGGATATACTCCCTCCGTCCCGGAGTATTTGTCCACTTTTGACTTTTTTTGGTCAAAATTTGTAAATTTTGACCCAAAATTAAATAAAAATGATAGTAGATATTGATACAAAAATAGTTTTATTAGATTTATTATAAAAAGTATTTTCAAAATAGTATTTTATATAATTAATATACAATATATATTTTATTTGATTATATGTCAATGGTTGAAAACGGTCGACTAAAAAAAGTCAAAATTGGACAATTGCTCTGGGACACAGGTAGTATATAATATGGAATGCACTGAATATCTATTTTTATGGCAGCATGCACCATTTCTTTTACACTGTCTGCTGAGGTAGTGCTGGCCTTAGAAGCAATAGTGTTGTCGATTCGAAAGATTGTAGATGATGATTTATTTGAACCTGGAAAAAACATTCAGAAAGGATGTATCAAAGAGCTTGTTCCCTTCTTATGCAAAAAGCTAGCATCGACTTCCAAAAATCTCCTGATTCAGAAGTACGATAGTAAAAATATCGAAGAGGATTCAAAAAACAGAGTATGCATATCTATTTTTTGTTTTCCATTGTAGGAGCCATTTTATATTTCAAGCGTCAAGCTGTGATTCCTTGTGATTTTGCAGCGAGAACTTGTCCAAAAGATTCTTCGCATTTACTTGGAAAATTGCCAATCCACATGTGATTCTCTAGATGAGCTTGCGTGCTTAATCATGCCCCAGGTTCATATACTTTTATGAATATTCACTTCTTACTTGCTACAAAAAGATTTATAAGTGGAGTAATATCACCTCTTGTGTTCTTCAAAAAATATAGAATGGGTACAAAAAATGTTGGCTTCCCTAATATGCCATATTTAGAAATGTTCTAATGATAGTATGTATAATAAAGAGATCCCCGTAGAGTCCAAGTCTTCTTCCAAGAATGATCCAAATTCCAAAGTGTGCCATATATGTATATTCTTGTTTCATGGAGAATGTTGGCTTCCCTAAACCCTCCCCCTCAAGTTGCAGCATAAATATTTTTGGTCAACCATTTGGTGCTCCTGGTTTCAGATGCTTTAAGAATGGATATAATGACCGAGTGGAACATATTATAGGAATAACTCAGTGAAACATTCTGAAGTAACAAAAGCTGATGTTAGTCAAAACTAAGATGATATGATTTTTTTCTTAAAAAGAAAAATATATTTGTGTGGGATGGAGTATAGGGGGGATAACTTCGCCGTGAGTACTGAGGAACAAAATTATGAGATATTGAGATGGCTGATTTAACACAAAAAAGAACTAAACTAGGTATTCCAAATGACCAATGGATGTCAGGCAAACCGGGCACCATTGGATCCATTGAATGATTAATAGTTTGGCGTATAGGAACTCCTCAAGCGCCAGCACGTGAGGCCCACATTGCTCTCCTAGGAAATGTATTCCGATAGTGAACTTGGGATCGGAAGACACCACGTAGATTGGCAGATGATAGTGTTGAAGTTTGCCTTGCAAAGGGTCTTAATAGAAACCCTAAGGTTCAATTTCTATGAAAGTTCTGTAAAGAAGTAGAAGTATGAGTTTTTTGAAATTGTCAGCTTTTTAAACAGAATACTTTTAAAACACCAGCTCTGATACCATGTTACAAAGTATAGAATGACTACAAAAGTTTAGATTAAATTGTACTCCCTCCGTCCCATATCTTTCTTTTCACTTTCCTTTTCAGGCCGTCCCATTTGATTCTTCTCATTTCCTAAAATGGAATTAAAATACACCTAACTTAAACTTTTACCCTCCCTCTTCTTTTCTCCTTCTTTCTCTTCCCCATCCTCTTTTTGTTCTTTCTTCTTTGTTCTTTCTTTCTATTTTCCTTCTTTGTCAGTCCACCCCCACTCTCCCCTTTCTTCTTCTTCCCGTTACCACCATTCTCCTTCTTTTGGGTCAGGCTCGGAGGCTCCCCCCTCTTCTTCTTCTTCTTCTTCTTTTTCTTCTTCTTCAGATCTTATAAATTATGTGATCTGTCCAAGCTCGCTTCATCTTGATTCCAGATCTTAGTCATTTGTTGACGCTCGATCGCCGCAACGAAGCTTCCAGATCTGATGAAGATGAACCCTTTCTTGAAACCTTTTGCTTTCCATTAGAGTGATAAACTTTCTGCAGAAGACGATGCCGATGATGAGACGAGGCTCGAGCTTCAGAAAGAGATGAAATCTCCTGTCTGAAGAAGAGGATTTGATGTATATTCGGAGATTTTATTTTTTACTCCCTTCGTTCCAATTTAAGTTGCCTATTTACTATTTACTGGGTCAAACATTTACCACTTTCATTACTCATTTTTGGTACTCATTTGATAAAATAATATTGTCATGTCACCTCTTGTTTTGTAGAAATTTAGATGTTTTTAAATATATAAATTTTATTTTTAAATTCTACACCAATTTTCATATAAAACGAATTGAAAATAATTTCTGTTAAACATTGTACACCGAAACGGGCAATATAAATTGGGACGGAGGGAGTATTTTATTTTTGGGCGTTGGCTTCAAATTCTGTTAATTTGATGTATATTGCTGAAATCTTTTTGGGGTTGACCAGATTCTAATTAAGGAGTAATTTGTGTGTATAGTTGTTATTTTTTGTTGTAAATGAAGATGAGGAAACGTAGCTTCGAGAGAGATGACTGAACATTTTTTATTTCTTCATCTTCTTTTCATTTTTTTGATTTTTTGATTTTGTTGAAGAGATTTTGGATTTTGATGTTGAAGAAGAAGACATCACAAAAGACGGAAGAAGATTGCGAGTCTGAGACGGAAGAGAACAAGCGACAAAGTTGGAAAGTCAAAGTATATTTCACTTCACATTGAAATCTGTGCCAAGTCAAAACGGGAAGTTTCAACTTGGACGGACGGAGTATAAGTTATACGGTTATTTATAAATCATAATAAAGAGATCCCCCAAAGTAGTAAGAATAAATTCTATAAACAATCCTATGTAACAGGGGTTTTTCACATATAGTCCTCTAATCCAAAATATTATGTTTCTGGTCCTCAATATTTGAAAACTATTCCATTATAAGTCCCCTGGAGAAAAACTTTACATTTTTTTTCAACATGTAGTCAACAAAGGACTTATCATGGAATTGTTCTCAAATATAAAGGACCACGAACATAATATTTTGGAATAGAGGACTATATATGGCTTTCCTTCCTATTATGCAAGAGGATGCTGGTCAGATTTAGAGTAACTTTACAGATATATATCATGTTGTAACTGTATTATACAGCTATAATCTGACATCTCTAACTCACATTCCATAATAACTGGCCTAGGCTTTACAGTTTCCAATTTTTAAAAGCTAGGTTGATGTTTGTGAATGACTTGATTCCACTTGAACGTTATACATAGAATGTGTAGTTTATGATAACTACTTTCAAGATCATAGTATTTTTCTTGTGTCTAGGTGACTTCACAGAGAAGTCAGGCAGAAGATAGTTGTAGCTTTCCAAGCCTCTGCCATACAACATTTATTGCTTGGTACCGGGTGATGGTGAGAGTCTAAATTTAACGATTGTGTATTGATATAGTTATGCCAGGCTGATTGACTAGAAGTGGTTTGTTGTTACAGCACGAACAGAATGTTTCGACACTTAATAGATTGGTGGGTTTCCAATTACTTTGTATGTTTTTTAATAAAGCAGTTAGATGTAGTTATTATTTTTTGTGTGAACTTTAAATCGCCTATTCCATATGTAGGTCAAGGACGTTTGTAAGCTGGAGAAATCCAAAGCGGGTGCCAAAATGAGCGATGTGGAACACTTGCTGAACCGGCTGCAACAATCTGTTAATGTTGTAGTATCTTTAGTTAGCATGTGTAAAACTCATGATAAGGTATCTTTTCTATCCAGTCCTCTATGTTTTCAAGCACCTATGCGGAACCTAGCTTAGTCTGATTAGTAATTGCAAAATAGGTTGGTGTTCATGCAATGGCTGTCAAGTTCAGTGGGAAGTTTTTTGATTCTTTTCTTAAAGGTACGTGTAAGGCAATTCTATGTCATATACTAGAGAGCAGGGATCTAAAACTCAACCACTCTTTTCCCCCTACCCAGTTTTTGGTTTTTTACAGGCTCAGTTTGAATTGCATGGTGAGCAAATAGTCCAACTGGTGAGCTTTTTTAATAATAATAATAGTAATAATAATAATTTTATTATACTTATATTATTGAACTGGAGTATTTAAAAGCTGGAACTAATTATGTTTCTTCTAAAAAAATTCATAGCTTAAAGATCTTCAGAAGGCAACACGAATTATACAGACACTATGCTCTGACGCAAAGGTTGTGACGACACCTCTCCAAATTATTTTGCTGAGAACTAATGTGAAGTATAATTTAATAACTTTAATTACTATGATTTATGGTGAGTGCCACACTGTGTACAGGGCATGAGGCGAACTGCTATTACCAGCAAAGTTCCATCCACAAAGAGATCTATGGAGCGCTTCCTCTTTCATGTCAAGGCACTCCATTTAAAATCAAGCGGATGTACTTTTTGGATGGGTAAGTTCACTTGGTGTTATATACTAATGAAAATGATGTTAGACGCCTTTCACACCTCTAGAGGGGGGTGAATAGAGGTGTTCACAAAAATAATAAAATTTTCGGCTTTAAAGTAGAAAAGTGCAGGAATAAAAATAAAAGGATAACGGAAATAATGAATGCAAAGAGACAACGATATATCCTTGTTCGGCCTAATGCCTACGTCCAGTCCCCAAGGCAAACGTGCCCGAGATTCCACTAATCCTTGTTAAACTTAACGGAGTTTAACAATTCGAATACAACTCGAGAACTTGATTTCACAAGCCTCTAACCTTTCCACCGAAGTCTTGATTTCACAAGACTTTGGATTTCAATTCAAAACTTGAATTATTTCAAATTCAAGCTTTTTACAACAATACAACTTACAAACAATTTGCACAGCGGATAATACTCCTCAAACAAGAGCGGATTTGCTGTAGATTACAATCACCGTATAGTGTATGGCACACAAAAACTTTCCAACTCAAAGTGAAGAAAGATTTCTCAAATGAAGAGCTTGAATATTGAGTAGGAAGATGAAGACTTGAATGAATCTCTTTGTAAAATCAAAGGAATGTAATTGAAAATTGTTCTTATGTGTTCTTGTGTTTTGAAAAACGGAACAAGTTGTATTAAATAAGGATTGGGTTGAGAAAACCTCCAAAGAAATTCAAAAACTGACCGTTTGTTGTTGAAAACTGTCGATTTATTCGAATAAAACACAATTTATTCGAATAGTTTGGATAAAATATGATTTTTGAAAACACAGGGCTTATTCGAATAATTACAGGATTTATTTGAATAAAACAGAACGAACTGCAAAACTGGGAGCCTACGTATTCGAATAAGTAGCCATTTATTCGAATAATTTTCAAAACTTTGGAAGAACTGGAATCAGCCCTTATTCAAATAAAACAAGCATTTGTTCGATTAAAACAGACTGAACTGCAATCTGCAGAAGCCCCTCTTATTCGAATAAATCTCAATTTATTCGAATAAAAAACTGGGAAGAAACATTTTTGAAGAAAGGTTTTGAGAAAGAGTTTTGAAAACAATCAAAGAGGAATTCTTGTAGGAAAAACAAAGTATTTGAAGAATAAAGATGTGCCAAACACTTTAACATGAACTAAGACTCAAAAGAAAGAAAAATCTAGAAAACCTTTAATCTTCAAATCTTGTCTTGAATCTTTAAGCAACGTGCTAGGCAATCCACATGAAAAGATCCAGATCCAAAGCTCATCCCATATGCATGGTTGTCATTATCAAAACACAAGGGTCAACAATTTAGACTAGCTAAAGTTATTATAGTCCTCCAAGCACTTGAAAAGAACGTATTGTTTTGCCCAAATTATATTTTTTTACATGGAAGATTTAAGATATGGGTGATTGATTTAGCTGGTTTGTAAGTAGTGCTTTAAAGATGTGATTATTGATAATGTCTTAGCGAGTAAATAATGAATGGAATCAGAACGATACATTAACTTCCTTTGCTTCTTACTTTCTATGATGCTTTGGATAGTAAATCCAGCTATGAATCAAGGGTCTAACAAAAAAAAGCCTATTTGTTTTTTACGGGGTGAGGATGCATACATCTAGACCTCCAGACCTCAACATAATTGGGGTTGTTTTGGGTTTTGTTGTTGTAGAAGTGGTGCATTCGTGTTTCTTTTTTCAAGGATTATACAACGACAACGATGCCAACATACCTAGAGAGGCTGTTTCCAAAAAGGTGAAGGAGATTAGAAGAGTTCAACAAGAAAAGGACAGGGAAAAAGAGAAAGTTATAAATGAAGATAATCTATCCACAAATAAATAAGAGAAGACAAAGAAAACACCCCCTCAAACTTAGTTACAGCCTATAAATCGCATTTAGAGCAAAGAGATGCCTTAACCCCAACTATCTGAAAACTTTAATCCTCGACCTCCATACTATCCCATATAATTTAAAGTCCTTGGTGAGCTGCAATAGCCTCAAATTCTATAGTCTTCCTCTCCTCAAATGCCCAGCCTCCAACCTCTCGTAAGTCGTACCTCACACTCACAGGCTCAAACCCTCATATATTTTCTGTGCTCCTCCTTTTCACATGCCCAAACTACCTCAATCTTCATTCCTTCATCATTCATCCACAAAAGCCACCTCCACCTTGTCCTCCAACACATTGTTTCAAATCGTGTCCCTCCTAGTAACTTCACACATCCACCTAAGCACCCTCATCTATACTACCCTGATCTTTTGGGCATTCTTAACCAAATGACGCAGAATGAGCCAATGCCTTCGCCTCCGCTAGACTCGAACCTGGGTGAACTTTCCCATGAATCTTGGGGAGTGAGCTCCCTACCACTCAGGATTATGTGCTATTTTAAAACAATAAAAACTTCAAGGTTCTTTTTTATCATATAAAGTGGAGTACTCCGTGATTCACAAGCTAAAACCAGTCACCGATGTATTTACTCTAAACACTTATTTAGGCTTTCATTTTCCATAATTTTCATTTTTCAATTGTAAATCAAATGCTTGATAATTCAAAACAAAAGGTTGTGCATGAGGAGATGGTAACAACATACAAAATTATAATAATCAATTTATCCATTTCGAAAAAAGATTCCCGTTTTTAACAAATAGAAAAATAAAACATACTCTCTCCGTCCTAAAAAAGTTAGTTTAAACTTATGTTTGATCCTTAAAAGAGTTCCATTTTAGCAGAATAAACTTTTAATTTTGTAGTTAATTTTGAATAAAATAAATTCAACAATTTCTGATTCTAAGGTTATTGAGGATACAAATACAACGACGGCAACATCCTAGTATAATCCTAACATCATTGGGGTACGAGGGGTCAAGATGTACACAGTCCTCCCATAAAGAGTACAGGAAGGCTATTTCGGTTTGACTTGTTGATGCATTGCTTTATTAACTATCCAAAACTTCATAGGATGTAAGAAGCAAAATAAGTTTGATGCATCATGCTCATTTAGTGAATTTAGTCTATTATTCACCGGAAGATAACACATTGTCCGTAATGATTCCTTTAGCTTCATTGGAGGATAAAGGTGAATTTTAGAAATTAAGTGCGATCTGTTTAGGGCAAAACTTCACTAGGCAATTAAACAGACCAACTACTCCCTTGCCAACATTAACTTTCCACTTCTTTTTGGGTTGTCCCAAAAACAAGTTCTCATGTCATTTTTTAACGTGGACCTTTTAGTTCTTTTAAATAAAATTACACCATTACCTTCAATAACCTGCATGTTTACTATCCCTTTTACTTCACTTTTACCAAGGCCAAAAAAGTAAGCATGTGCATTTGTAGAATTTTCACATTAGAAGATAATTTTGGGAAGCCGGAATATTTACCAAATATATACACTTTAGACCAAGTCAAACTTAAAACTGGTAGATTCTTTATTTAACATAAAAGATCTTGTAGTCTGTATTTAATAGTAGTAATCATAATAATCATAAGAGAGAGAAGCAGTTAGTAGATAAAGTGATCTTAACAGGCATGACTTTTTTGGATTGACATTCTTAATTGCAGTGCTATAATATGATATGAGCTCGTTTGTGATCTTGTCTTTAATCTCGTGTCTGGAATTGATTTCTCGAGCACCTTATAAAATCCTTGTACCACCTTTTAATTGGATTTGATATTTGGATTGGAGTAAAAGTAGTCTGGGTTCAAATAATGACCCGCTGCGTGCAATGGTTGAGGAAGCTAAACATCTCACCTCTGATTAATAATGGCAAAAAAAAAACCGACTATATTTCTCATGTTGGGATCCATTTCTTTTTGCTATGGCCTCCTTTGCTCTATCCATTGCGTCATATATGTACGCCATTGCATGTTTGGGTTTCCCATCAACTAGTTGAAAAACTTTGATCAGAGGAGTGACAATCTTTAAAGGATGTACACCGTCCTCTCCAAAATGACTCAGATAGGATAGTCTTACATGCTTGAACACCTTTTTGTTCCTTTGCCATCTTGCTCTTTGTCAAAACTTCTGAAACAAAGTTCTTAACTCTCTCCTCAATAAGGTTCTTTTCATCTACTTCAGCTAATAGTGAACACCTAAATTGTCAAATATTATGTTTACTGCAGAAGATCCGTTGCTAATATTTTTTATTTTAATTTTAAACTGGTAAACTTTTTCTTGAGTGAAAAGGGACCTCTATATCTTATCTCTCTGAGTAAATAAAGGTGCAAACTCATCATTTTTTCTTATGACAGGGAACTTGAAACATAAAAACTTGTGGGGGGAAGTAGTGAGTTCCCAAGCGTACATAGAAGAGGATGAGAAGGAAGAAGTCAACGAAGATCCTGCAGAAAATACAATGGAGGACCAACCCCCGGAAGCCGTTGCTGATGATATAGTATCGGATTAGTTCGACCAAATGTAAATACACTTAAATGTTTGGGACAGTGACCAAAAAAGGAAAGTCTCTAATGGGAAAATATGTGTTGTGCTGGTAGAAGATATATTTTCTCTTCTACAACACAACTATGTATCTGCATAGTATGGGAGACAGTATCAAACAATGTGGAAGTTTTGTGCTAATAATCACAACCATATCAGTATATCTCTTTTTTTTTTTCTTGGAGAGAATTATGGAAAAAAAAGTGATCTAGATTTTAATTGGTAACGTAATCCTAACATGACTGTTTCTTACAAAATAGAGAGCCATTTGGCTGAACTTATATATTATCTCACTTTACCTATCTCTAACTACTTGCCTTATATTTGCATATTTCAATTCTCATTAACCATTTACTTCTCCTTCCAAACATAGCCTAAGAGTTTGGAGTGAAGTAAAGTTATGCGTGTAAGTTCAAAACTATAGCAGTAAAATACACAGAAAATCCCTCTGAAATTCTAATTTTGGGATGGAGGAAGAATGTTAGTTCGAAATATATATTTTTGGTTTGTCTCCGTGGATTGTTAACCCAAATGAATTCAGGTCGATCTAGTCTACTTAACCAATATGAGGTTTCCCCAATGCTCTTCATTAGATGTTTTCAAAGTTAGATCATTTCAAATATCCTAAAATTTGAATCCCAAGTTCCTAAAAAACTATAGAATCATGCCCTTTTCAAACATTCGATTTAAACGTCTAGTCATAAACTTAGTTTTTATGTTTTTTTAACATTGTTCATCCGATTTAAGCATCAAAGTATAACTCCCTTTCACTTAATTATTATACGAATAATACTCTAAGAATCTTTGTACAACTTTGTTCATAATGTCATGTCAATTCAAGTTATATTCTTTCTCATTGTTTACCCATGGCTAAATTAGGACTTTTAAAGGTTTCATATATTTGCAGTACAAGGTAATTAGTGGTGGATCAAGAAATAAGCAATTCAGATCTTGATGATTTTATTATCATTGACTATTTTAAGTAATTCAATTAACTTAGATTGGACGAGAATTTTAATAGACATTAACAAATTAGAGGTGCGGAGTACATGTTCGTTCAATGATATTACAAATTTCATAGTTAGGGCCCAAGGGACAGAGTCCCATGTCAGCTCAGAAAAGTTTTATTTTAGACATTGTTAAGAAAATTCTTTTGATTTTCATAAACGGAGTGTAAAGTGACATTAATTGAATTTTATGGAGTATAAACCAATACATTTGAATGTATAGATCATCTCAGTCATCCTTCACAAAAAAAGCACGTAACATTTTAACGTTAAATATCAAACATTCGAATGTTCTGCGAATAGATGCGACAATACGAACAAAACTGCAAAAGCAACTGTGTAGCAAAGTTTTCTAACCCATGACGACCATCTTCCTCATTATCTTGTAGAAAACTTTACACACAACAATGGGTCCTAAGTTGCCCATCTCCTCCTGTTGGGGCTTCTTGGGGATAACTGGATAAACACAATTTATGTAACCCCAAAATTTCCAGGAATACTGTCCAAATAAAAATGATGAATGCAGAAAGCTAACACCCCCGACCTAACAATGTGCCAGAATCGCTGGTAGAAACCTGGATTGGAACCATCAACACTGGGTGATTTATCTTGGCACATCAATAATCAGGACTGCCTTGCACAGTCAATAAATTGGCAAAGCATTGCTCCACTGTCTCTGCTAATCTAGAACCCCAGCCACACCACACATCAGTTACACTATTTTGGTTCAAGAAATTTAGAAGGAAAAGAAAAGAAAATAATTTTCTCTCATTTTTTCTCAATAAAATAGAAAGAATTTAATTTTCTCTCCTCTTACTATATTTTGTCTTCTTATTTTTTGTTACTAGACTATATCAATTATTTTTCTGTTACGGAGTATTATTATTATTATTATTATTATTATTATTATTATTATTATTATTATTATTATTATTAGGGAGTATTATTATTGTTAGGTTATTAATTAGTTTCTTGTTTTAATTAGTTACCTTAGGATAAAATGTAAATTATTATTACCCCTAATCAAAACGGTACATCAATGTCAAATGTTGAACCATAAAAATGGTTCCATAACAAATACAAACAACATACACAGATAAAACAAATAAATAACATACACAAACTTGGCACGCAGGCCATACAAAATAAAGAACCATCAAATAAACATCAATGTGATCACACTTTATCAAAGGAGACCACGTCAAGGCTAGACTCTTGCGGAATCCACTTCCAGCTTCCGTTACCATGCATCATCCCAGCAATAGTACGGTAGGAAAAACAAGAGCAAAGAGGGAGCATATATTGGAGCCACTAGCACAGTCCGCCGATACATACTCTCTCCCCAGCGATCAGGTACGACAAACACTCAGTCTAAAAGCTCACCAAAAGTACTTCAAAATCACGTTCACAGTTCTTCATCCAAGGTCATGCATCCAACAAAGGTGAGCAAAATATTAATCTTACCATAATCACCATCAGCCATCCGAGAGGTTGAGGTTTTCCACCAGCATGCGAATGGGCATATCCCCGAGTGCGGGAAGCTGTCCACCCTCATCAAGGCAGACAACTTAAACTCCAAAGTGACCCGAGGGACACACTCTGCCATGCAAATCCCTCCCTAGGTCTATGACCAGAGTTCCCTCACGGTATTTGGCAAGCATCCCTATATAGACTAGGCGCAAGTTCACTAGGTTGTCTCATAAGCCTTCATCCATTATTGCCCTCGGTTTGAGTTCAGAAGCAATACATAGATAGGCAGGAACCAGCGAAAACAACCTCCCAAACTCGAGAAAAAAAGCCAAGTCAGCCACAAGATCCACTTGTTAGCCAAGAAGACCCAAGCTCTTCCAAATACCTCAACCGAAAGGGTAAATATTAGCATTAGGTAGTGTGCCAGTGTGAAGTGTTGAATTCTATTTTATTTTAAGAGTGTGAAGTGTTGGGTATCTACCCAATTACCAAATACTAATTGTGTTGAATTCGATTTTATTTTAGTAGTTAGGAAATAAAATAAAATAAAATAAAAAAGGATTATGTGTGGTGTGTGTGAATGAAAGGATGATGTGAGGTGTGTGTGAAAAGAAAGCGTGATTCATGAATATATGCATGTGTACGTGCCTACATGCCCAAAGAAAAAGAGAAGAAGGAAAAGACAAGGAGATCAGAAGAATTGAAAGAAGGAAAAAAGACTAAACTAAGAATAAAATATTGAAAATATACCAAAATAAGACTTTCATATTTTCATTCCCGAAATAAGAGTTAAAATGAATTTACATTATCAAACGTGGTCATGTACATTATCAAAAAGTATAGTAATGTGCACATGTACAGTACCATATTACCTTCACATTACTACAGTGCAAAGTCCTATTTCGAGAGTAAAAGCATGAAAGTCCCATTTTGGTACTTTTTCTATGTTTTGATCTTATTTAGGGTGATATTCTATTGAAAGAAACAAAATGCATTGCATATGAAGGACGAGTGGTTTTTTTAATAAAACGAGTACTCCTTTTTTGTGTGGGGGGCGTAGCAAAAGAGACAGAAGAGGAGGGAGAGAAAGTTACTCCTTGTTGAGAGAATATTAATTGTTGTATTAATATTGGGTCATATTGTACTGTAATTAATATTATAGTGAATATTGGGTCATATTGTACTGTAATTAATATTATAGTGAAAAGTTTAATATGAAAGCATTGTGATTTTCCCTAATTTGAGAAGAGTTCCACATAAAAAAACTTGTGTACTGTGTCTTTTACTTTTTTCTATACATTTTTTTATTCCTTCCATATTATTTTGAGTGTTGTGTTGTTGTTTGAGAGGGTAATTTTCTGCAACAACTGGATCGCCAGGATCGGAGTTTGGCTAGTTGTTCGGGAAGGAAAATTAGCTTTGCGAGTGAGTGAGGTATTTTGTCAAAAAATGATGGATGGTTCACAAAAAATTCAAATTTGTTTGTTTGATGAGAAAATTAATTTTATGGTATGGAAGAGTACGTACTATTGAAGATTTGCTGGTTCAACAAAATTTAGTGCTTTGGAAGAGAAGAAGCCCGCAATAATAGATGATGCTAAATGGGCATCAATGCAAAAGAAGGCGATCAGTGCTAGTGCTATCTGTCTGGCTATAACTCTGGAGATGAAGTATAATTACTTGACTGAGTCGGATCCAAAGAAGCTGTTTGAAAAACTCTAGAGTGTATATGCATCAAAATCACTTCGGAGGTTACACTCGGGTAAGCTTCATGATACTTTGACTGGGTTAACTTTTCTTGTCTCCTTTACTTCTAGTGTCAATCCAAAAATTTACCTAGGTGAATTTATGGTAGACTGGAATTGGGTCACCGTTGGGTGTAAATACACACATCACTTTAAGAGTATTACTTAATTTTTATAAGAGTTTCAAAATGGTCTTTTCTAATAAAAAATTTTCAAATTAGTCCTCAACAAGTTCTAATTACTTAAATGATACTTTATAATTGAGATTTATTCCCTAAGTAGTCTTTTGAAAAAAATGTCACCGAAATGGTTATGAATTAAAAGATATTTTGGTGTTTTCATTATTTAAATTTAAAGTAAATTCTCAAAATGGTCATTTCTATACAAATTCATTTAAAAGTAAAACAATCATTGATTATACATAATCATGAATTATTTAAAATCCATCAAAATATCTTAAAATTTGAATTAAATACACCTCCTTTATTAGAAAAGACCATTTTGGACAAACATTTCATTAGAAATGAAAATTTTAAGAACTTACTTTAAATTTAGATGATAAAAGATACCAAAATATTTTCTACTGAATAGACATTTAAGTGACATTTTCTTACAAAGGACTACTTAGGAAATAAATCTCAATCATAAAGTACCATGCAGTTAATTTTAACTTATTGAGTACTAATTTAGAAAAATATCTCTTTAGAAAGGATCATTTTAGGAATTTACTCTTTTTATAATGTAAAATAAAACCATAGTTTTAAAATTATTATGAAAACTTCTTTTGTCTTAGAATATTTGCCTAATTTTGACTTTTTACAATCAACAAAGATCGATTTTTGACCTATAACTAAATAAAAATTACATATATGAATAACTTAAAATAATATTTTGAAATTATTTTACAAGATAAATCTAATAGAATTATTTTTCCATCAATATACGAAGTATAGTATGAATTTGATTTAATTAATGGTTAAAGTTTATCAATTTTGACTATAAGAAGTTAAAACTAGACTAATACTTTAGAACGGAGGTAATAATATATTCCTTCATCCCAAATTCATTTATAACATTCGAACAATGTGCAAAATCTCATCTATTTTAAACTAGTTTATCTATAAATTGGTATATAAACAAAATGTACAAATTACATATTTAAAATTATATCTAAAGTTCTACAAACAAAGTGCAAGAAAAATTACCGAAAGACCTAAATAAAAAAAATAAAAAATGTAATTAATTTTGGGATAGGAGGAGTACCAGTGAAAATAATATAGGGAGTTGTAAAATATCCAAATAGAAGGGGGGAGGTTGGAGATGCTCTAGCACGACTATACCAATTGTAACCGCGTGCGAGTAATGGGAAGCAACATCCTTACGGTTTTCTTCTTGCTTTTGGGGTCTGGGGATAAATCCACTAGATTTTCGCTTCGATGCAAGTAGCGCCCCTGCCGGATTCTTAGGTACTGCGCGTTCATTCTGCTCGTTTGTCATTTCCCACTTCTTAGCTAGGCTATTTACTTGTTTTTGTTTGCTGGAATTTTTTCTATATTTTGCTGTTTAAATTTCTCTGCTTGACCAAATTTTCTATGCACGGAAAATAGTTAATGATATGAGTTAGACAGGGAGGTTTATGGTTGGGTTAAATCGCTATAAACTGATAGCCTGTCCTTTTTTTTGTTAATAACATCACATGTGAAAGCACATGACATTCTTCTCGGGTTGATTGAATATTTTTAGGTCTCCTGGTTTACATTTTTCCTCAAGTGTACTTGGACTTGCCCAAATGTGCATCATTGTCGAATTCTTTAGCTTATTATGCATTTAAATGATTTTTTAAGTAAAACAATCATTTGTGAGATGTCGGGGGGTTTCTAATTCAGCGGCTCGTCTCAAGTTAGTTTGTTTTCTCTTGTTCGTGCTTTCATGATTTCGATCAGGCGTGCATTCACACTACCAAACTTACTTCCCATTTGATGATATGCAATCTATAGTACCAGAAGAATTTCATTAATTAAGGGTGGGATGAGATTGAAACTCCTGTCTACTTTTTATTTGGGTTTTTCATGCCTTAGGGAAAATAGGAAGAGTGGTGAGGGCGATGGGACATTTGTGCAAGGCGACTTATTTATGTTTGTTTTTCATAATGTTATGCTTATAGTTATGCTTGTGTTTTGATTAACTCTGTACTTTATAGTATCTTGACTTTTCGATAGAGCAACTTAATTTTATGGAGCTTCACACCAACAACAAACCTAGTAGAATCCCATAGAAGTAGGATTTGGAGAGGTAGGTTGTACGCAGAGATACTCTTTCCAAGAGGCTCCCAACACAAAAAGCATAGATAGTGTAAAGTTTAGTAAACACAGTAGCGCGAACAAGGTGGCACATACTCAAGAAGCACACATCCTAACACCTGCAACTAGATTCAAAGCACAAAGAGCACACCGCATAAGCTATAGACGAATGCGAAACACATAGTAGTAGAAAGTTCAAACTGAGGCCGAGAGGTCTACTCGACTATTCTAATCCTTCACACCAACTAAACTAATTTATTTTGGGGTGATGACAGGGGCGGTTTACCTGTAAACCTTTACAAGATGGTCATGGTCCTAGTGCATGTTCTTGGGGAAAAGTCAAAGAATGGTTAAGAAAGGTGATTTAGTTCTTATTGGTGTATTTGCTGGTGTGGTTGTTGGAATTCTTATTGCAGCACTTGTATTGTTTGGTATTCATTGGTATAAATTGCGAGCCCGCCACCGTAGATGTGCAAATGAGCAATGTCAAACAACTGTTCCAATACGAACAAATGGCATTGATACGAGCATTGAGTCTAGTGCTTCTATAAACAATCGTGGGCCACAATACATTGTGAAGGGTTCTCATAGTAGTAGCTGGTGGAGTCGCCCCACTAAGGATAAGTTTACTTCAGCATCATGCATACCAAGATATTCTTACAAGTAAGTAAATCCTAGCTCAAAAAGAATATTAATCCCCTATTGATTGTAATTTTATAGTTTTATTCCAAGTCATCCTTGTCATGCTTTATTATTTCCACTTTATGATATTTGAACTCATTCTTGCTGAGATTCACCTATTTTGTGTTAATGCTATTTACATTTTTATTTGCAACTGTTATTAATGAGTAAGCAAGATGTATTTTTAATGTCGACATTTGGTATCAGGGTGTATGTTATTTGCATATGGTATTAGTGGAATGCTAAACTCTGCAATGAGAAATTTGTAGGGCATAAGTTAGAATCACAGAAAAGTATTGAAGTAAAGATTTTTTAGAGTGAAAATTTAGCACGACTAAAGATAGAAGTCAAAGTATGGTGAAATTGGTTTAAAAGAGCTATGAACAGATAATATATGTCTCAATACTATATATATATTCACCTTGGGGGGGGGGGTAGGGGGGGGGGAGGTGAAGCATCAGTCGTTCATTTTACTCATCATTCACTACCTTACTCATTTAGACTCTCTCTACAACTTCCGGCTTACTCAGCCATCAAATAATTATAGGAGACTAATACAAAGATTTTCTTTCATAGTGTTCTTCGTGAACATAAGGACAAAGTTAGTTTGATCTAATTTTAAGTTGATCTTCAGGGACATTCAGAAAGCTACAGAAAACTTTACAACTGTCCTAGGACAGGGATCTTTTGGTCCAGTATACAAAGCGACACTGCCAAATGGTGGAGTGGTTGCTGTGAAGACTCTTGGTGCCAATTCTAGACAAGGGGAAAAAGAGTTTCAGACAGAGGTATGATCTAACATTTTTTTGGGGGATGTGGACACTGATGTAGCACTATTCTGCTTAAGGAATCATTACTTTAGAAATCTACTCTTGGGTGGAGGTCTTGAATATTGTCTTAGAAAATGGTCACTCGCATCTGACCTCACAAAGAAAATTAAAAGAAGTGACTTGAGTGAAATTGATAGCACTCCTTCCATTCAAGAATAAGTTTCCACATTGAGATCAACATGACTAGTTAGAAAACTAAAAATGTGTGGTTGAGGTTTATGCATAGGAGAGAATAATCTAAACCACACATTTCTTTCCTTAAAAGGAAAGTATAACATTATTTTGGCACAAACAAAAAAAGAAACGGGAACATATTTTTGGAAACATATTTTTGGGAAAGATGGAGTCCATAATAGAAAAGGGAGGGGAAACAAAAGCGTAGTAACTAGAATGGAGCTCCCTGATAGTATTTGGGTTCAATCTTGAATTGTGCAAAGATGACGTGAAACTCGTGTAATCTCGATGTAATAAGTATTTGTTTGGCAGGTTACACTTCTGGGTAGGCTTCACCACCGTAATTTGGTGAATTTACTTGGATATTGTGTGGACAAAGGACAACACATGTTGATCTATGAATTCATGAGTAATGGAAGTTTGGAAAATTATCTATACAGTAAGTACTAAGTTTTGACTTTGAGACCCTAACTCCTTGAAATTTCTTTATTTGGTTGAATATTAAAATTGTGTGTTTTTGTTGCAAAAGTTATTTCCAAGATTGTGTAATCTACAATGTTCCAATCGTGTTTGTTAAGAGATAAACGAATACCCAGAAATGATTTTTATAAATTAATCTATTTAGGTCCTCAATCAATGACATTATGCTAATGTGTTCGCTCACAGATGCAGAACAGGCTTTAAGTTGGGAAGAAAGACTGCAAATTGCTTTTGATATTTCACATGGCATCGAATACCTTCATGATGGGGTAGACTGGCTTATTCTTTAACCTCAGTTTTGTGTGATGAAATCTTGGAAACATTATATAGTCATTCAATGCTATTGCAATGCACAGGCTGTGCCACCAGTGATACATCGGGATTTGAAGTGTGCTAATATTTTGCTAGATCATGCTATGAGAGCTAAGGTCAGTTTGCTAGACTGTTGATTTTATCCTATAAGACTACATATGACCCATGAGTTGAAACTCCCAAAAATTGACCCTGAAAGTTCGTAAAGCATATATTTATCTCGTCAATCTAGTTTGTTGTCCAGTCCATTGAGAGTCAATATTTTTATACTCTGCTTTCAATTTTTCGTACAAATCACTCCATTAAAATTTGTTTGTTTGGTGAGCTGATTTAGCATACCTCATCGATAACATTTTTTTGGGACCTTTATTGAATCTAAGGCTCGATGGAGACGGCTATCTCTGCTATCAATGAGACAATGCCCAACATTAATTCCAATAAAAACTACTCCCTCTGTCCCGAAAAAAGATTCCACATTTTTTTTGTTTGTCCCAAAATAAGGTTCTACTTTTCTTCTAAAGAAATGATCATATGGTTTAAATAATTTCTCGCCTTTGCATAACTCTCAACCACTCAATTTTTTCTTTTGAAGGATCAACCTTTGTTCAAATGGGACTCTTTTTGAGGCATAAATTACGCACATTAAAAACACAGATTTGAAATTTTGAATAAACACTAATGAAAATAAATCACCTCATAGAATAAAATAACTTGACTCAGATTTACATTAAATCTAACGCATAATTGAAGCACTTCGTGTTCCCACAATGTGTACTATGCACTCGCATAAGATGGAAATCATATGCAGCACATGTCAACCATGGCCGACACTTGTGCCTTGCCTTTCCTCCTGAACGTGTCTTGTTCAGATTGGTCCTCAAATGCTAAAATACTATGTAGTTTTGAGTTTGGCTATTTCTTCGAATCTGAGATTTGCATGCTTCCTGCATATTAGGTTGCTGATTTTGGGCTCTCAAAGGAAGAGCTGTATGATGGCAGTAATTCAGGTCTTAAAGGCACATATGACTACATAGATCCTGTCTATATATCAACAAACAAGTTCACCACAAAGAGTGACATTTATAGTTTCGGTATTATCCTATTTGAACTTATTACGGCTATTCATCCACATCAAAACTTGATGGAATATGTCAAACTTGTAAGTTCTTCTTTACCCAATCCTTTTAGAAGCGTCTTGCTCAACTATTCTTTGAAACAATTTTGGGTATTCTTACCCCATGCTTCCTAGTTCCTAATCTTATTTTCACATCGTGGTTTTCTTGTTCGTGATTTCAACCATTGAAAGGCATCGATGAGCCCAGATGGTATAGATGAGATTGTGGACAAGCAAATCGTTGGGACATGTAACCCACAAGAAGTAAGAAAGCTGGCTGCCATTGCTCACAAATGTTTGAAGAAAGCTCCCAGAAAACGCCCTTCCATTGCAGAAATTTCCCATGCCATATCGAAGGTAAAGCACAAGGGCATCCTCAGAGAAGATACTATGTCTTTTGCCCAAGGTGATATTTCAAGAATGACAAGTAGAATTGAAATGCAGCAAGTTGAAATAGGAAATATGGGAAGCTTAAAGGAGAATGAAGCTAAATGAAAGTCTTACTTACACCCCAAGTGTTCTCTTTTGCATTCCTGCTACAGTACCAGGTCATCCTATATATTCCGTAAATAATTATTCTGTACAGATTTTATTTTGCTAACACTTGGCAACTTTTATAAAAGAAGTTTTTTTACCCGTCAGTTTATATTCTTTTTTTGTGTTAGTCAGTGTACTTCATGTCTTTCCGCTATGATCGTTAATGGCCCGAACCTATTCAAAATAGATCAAATTTGCCTCTGGTTTACATGCTTGCCCGTAATGTTATCTTCAGGGTAATATTAATTTGATAGGGAAATAATGGCCAAATAGCTCCAGTGTTTCATGTGGGTTGGAAAATTAGCACTAATACTCTCTTGGTTTTCAAAAGTTATTTCTCTAAGTCTCTTTGATTTCAAAACGTTGCATCCACAACTCCTCTGATCATTTTCTGGCGAAGAGGGACATTGATGCCTATTTTGTAAGCTATGGGGAGGGGGGTATTCGTGCTCATTTCTTATTTTTGTTTATTATTTAATTTTTTCTCTTTTTTAACTTTTCTTTTCTATTAGTTTCCTTTTCCTAGAAAACTATTTTAAATTTATTTTCAATTTCTTATAATGTTTTTAAAAATTTAAAATTCTTTGTGTTTGAAATAAAAAAAATAAGATATACTTGATCTATCTCAAATTAAACATTTTCACTTTTTTTTCTAAAATAATTGTTTTGGTAAGTTCAAAAAGAAAATTTAAAATAAAAAAATAAAAAGGGAAAAATGAAATGAAACAGAATTGAAACATGCAAAAAAAGTCATACAAAAAAAAAATTCAGAATGCCTAAAAAGTCCTTAGAATTGTGATGTCTAAAAAGGATATTCATTTTTATTTTATTTTATTTCTTATTTTATTCCTCATTTTTTGAATTTCTCAAAAAGTTATTTTTTTATTTTGAAAACAAAATATAAAGTTTTTTTTAAATTTGAGACGTATAGATGCAGTTTATGTTAATTATTTTTTCAAACAAAAATAATTTTAAATTTTAAGAACATTATAAAAAATTTAAAAAGAAATTTAGAAAACATTGATTAATAAGAGAAACAGTGAAGGAAAAAAGGTAAAAACAAAAAAAAACAAAAAATAAGAATGATCACGAGTGCCCCATATAGTTTGAAAAAAAGGAACTAATGCCCCCTTTTCACCAAAAAAATGATTGGAAAATTATCATAGGGGTATGGGTGCAAGGTTTTGAATCACTAGGACTTTAAAAATAAGTTTTGAAAACAGAAGGATATTTCTGCTTATTTTCCAAACCACAAGGGGATACTGGTGCTATTTGACTGGAAAGAATTTCCTTTAAAAAACGATAGGGAAAGAAAAGAAATTGATATGAAAAATGATTTTTCTTGTTTGGTTACTGAAGAAAAGAAAGTAAAAGTTGAAAGAAAAGAAAATGTGAAGAAAAAATTATCTGAAAAGAAGAAAAATCATATTCCCAATTTATTGAGAAAAAGGAGAGGAAGTGAGCTATGGAAAAGAAGAACCAAATTTCCAATAATAGTAGTAACTGAGCTATGAGAAAAACCACATAATCTGAAAAAGAAGAAAAACCACATTCCCAATAATAGTAATATTAATAATAACTATAATAATGATAATACTAATAATGATAATAATAAATAAAAATAGAAACACTAATAATAGAAATAATAATAATAATAATAATAATAATAATAATAATAATAATAATAATAATAATAGTAATAATAAAAATAATAATAAAGTTATTCAATTGCCTCTTTTATTTTTATTCTTCACCCCATATACTTTCTCACTTTCTCTTTTTTGTTCATCATGTTTCATTCATAATCTTTTTATTCTTACTCGACTTCACCTTTGCCATTGTCGCACCTTCTCGCCCCCTCCTCTCTTGACCATGTTGATTTTTTTCTTTTGCTTAAAAATATGGAGTATTTCATCTTTGTCATCTTGATATTCCTCTTCCTTGATTTTTTTGCTTCGATTTGTATGTTCCTTCTTTTACGTCTCTCTTATCCTCATATTAGGACATATTTTTTGATTCCTTATTCCATGGTTTAGGTTGGTTGTATTAAAAAAATAGTAACAATGATTATATTAAAGGGTTTAACGACATCAATAATGTTGAACATGTTTGTTTGGAACCTAAGGTTGGCATTAAGTTGTGTGATTATGAGGAACTTTATAAGTTCTACCTGAATATATGCGTGACAAGTTGGAGTTTCCTATTAGAAAATGGAGTACGAGTAGAGCTGGTGATGAAACATGTAGTGTTACAATTGTATGCGTATAAATAGTCAAACTCAAAATAGTTCAAGACTGCATTCATGTATGCAAACAAAAGGTTGTGAAGCTTGGTTAACAGCTTCATGTGACCATGTCGATACGGTGGTATTACCATTTTCGTCATTTAGTTGGACCATAATCACGTCTTTATCCCTTCTCCATCTCGAATATAGCATTGCAACAAATTAAACATTTGCAAGAGCATGTTAAAAAGAGGCTAGAAGTAAACGCGGTTGATGGAATCACGCTTCATAAAAGCTTCAGCTCTACAGTAGTATAAGCCGGGGGTTGTAATGGTTGTTGAAGGTTATTTTTGCAGAATGCAAGCTAAAAGCAATGAAATTTTCATTTGCATTCACCCTGACGAAGAGTCATTACTACAAACTTTCTTTTGGGCAGATATGTGGTGTAATGCGCCAAAACCCAATCCACTCACAAAGAAGCAAAGAAGAACAAGATGAACACACAGAAGGAATAATAAATTATAAACTCACACACAAGAGGGCCTTTTTCTATCTTTTTGCACATCAGAACATAAGCAGATACCACCACAATATATAGGATATGCTAGTTTTTAACCCGTGCTTCTCATGGGCTGAAGTTATGTGCTTGTTTATAGTCTATGTTTTAGTGTTTGGAAATTAATTTTGTAGCATGTGGAATTATTTTTGGATAAACAATACTTAATACTCCATAAGTCAAAAACAGATTGTAACCATGGTAGTATAATGGAAGAGGCAAACATTATGTTCCATGATTATCATTTCAAGTTTCCCACACTCTTTCATTGTGTTCAAAACTAGCCAAAAGTTGGTGCATATAACTTTCAAAGTTCTATTTAGAGGCTTATGACCAATAAAATCATTGAAAAACTCTTAATTATTATCAAACTTTGAGGATAGTCTATATTTTACATTCGATAGCGAGTAAGATCGATTTGATTTCACCAAGCTTCATCAATTTTTTGTCTAATCAATCTCATTTTTTTCTACCTATTTGTTTCAAGAGAGTGAATCTGAGTGTGTGAGATGATAGATTTAGTTTGTAAAAATAATATTTAAAAATAGCCAACAATAGTTGGAATTTATAAATATAGTACATACCCACAACTCAAATGTCCTTACAGCTTTTGATCCGGTATTATATTAAAATTAATTCCCTTCGAGACACCTGATGATATTGGGTGCTCAATATGTAGATGTTCCATCAAAGGTCACAAGTTTTTTCTTTTGGAAAAGCAAATAATACCACTACATAACTTTTTAAGACATCCATAATGCCTGGTAAAAATATAATGCAACAAAATTAGAGAAGTAGCTACAATCACAAGAGGTAGAAGATACATATATCCTTGTTGGTAACCACCCTTGGTTCATACAAGGATTGATTGAGAAAACATAGACATCATAAATATGATATCTCCAGTGCTTTAAGCTATACCAAGAACAAATTTAGTAGACTGATTTAAAGGTAACCACGTGAAAATAAGGAAAATTTCTATACAAGGCAAAACACAAAATAAAGTGAGAATTATTCTACCTACTATAAACAAAATATATTAATTAAATAAAAAAATATTACCTAAGATATATCTGATTATTTCAAATAGCCCCCCTCAAGTTATAGCATTACGATTTTGAATGCCCAACTTGGAAAGAAGAAACAAGAACTGTCGTTGCCCCAAAGCCTTGGTAAAAATGTCGGCCAACTGAAGATGAGTCTGAACGTGCTAAATGGAAATCGAGCCGGAGAGAACAAGGTCTCGAACATAGTGACAATCAACCTTAGTATTTTTAGTGTGTTCGTGGAAGACATGATTAGACGTGATATGAAGAGCAGCTTGATTATCCCCAAAAAGTCACATGGACCAAGAATGAAGCACACCTAAAGAGCGAAGAAGTGATTTTAACAAAATTAATTCAATTGCAGTAAGAGCCATATAACGATATCCAGCCTCAGCCGAAGAAGAAGAAACAGTGTTCTGCTTTTTGGCTTTCCATGAAATAAGAGATCGACCAAAAAGGAAAAAATATCCTGTAAGCGAAAGACGAGTAAGTGGAAAGCTGTCCTAGTTAGAACACAATAAACATAGAGATAAAAACCAAAATCAGATGATAGGAAAATATCCTGTCTAGGATGGCGTTTTAAGTAGCGAAGAACTCAAAGAGCCGCATCCCAATGATCCTGTTTTGAATGCTGCATGAACTGAGAGAGAATATGGACAAAATAGCACAACGTCGGATGCGTAATCTCGAGATAAACTAACTGTCCAATAAGATAATGATAGGCCCCCCAGCTCGATGAAAAGAGATGAATCACATAGTGAGCTTATGATTTTGCTCCATGGGAAATGAGGTAGGTTTGGAGCCAAGTAGTCCAGTTTCAGTCAAAATATGAAGAACATATTTGTGCTGACTAAGAAACAAGCGAGCACCCAAGCGCGCAACCTCAATCCCAAAAAAATATTTAAGCCGACCAAGATCCTTCATATGCAAAAAAACCCCAAGTATGTCTTGAAGGCAAGATTTGCAACATGTTTATTTCCAGCAATAATGAGGTCATCGAGAGAGACCAAGACATGAATAGAAATATCACCACGAGAATAAGTGAAAAGAGAGTATTCAGCTTTGGATTGAAGAAAACCATAAGCCCGAAGAGAAACCTTCAGCTTAGCAAACCAATTACGAGGAGTTTGTCGGCGTCGATACAAAGATTTTTGTTAGCGACAAATTTTTCCAGCGGATGAAGAATAAAAACCTGGAGGAAGACGCATATTAGCCTCTTCAAACAAATCTTCATGTAGAAAAGCGTTATGAACATCCATTTGATCAATTTCCCAACCAAGAGAGATGAAAATGGCCAAGAAAACATGAACAGTGACCATTTTGGCGACCGATGCAGATGTCTCATTATAATCAATCCCTTCAACTTGATAATTTCC